ATATATAAAGAACTGTTAAAACTCGATAATTAAAGACAACCCAATTAAAAAAAGCAAAAAAATTTAATAGATGTTTCTCCAAAGAAGATATACAAATGGCCAGTAAGTGTATGAAAAGAGGCTTAGTCTTTAGGGAAATGTAAGTCAAAACCGCAAGATACCACTTCACACCCACTAGAATGTGTATAAAGAAAGAGATGGACAATAACAAGTGTTGGTGAGGATGTGGAGAAATTGGAACCCTCATACATTGCTGAGAATATAATGTGGTGCAGCTACTATGGAAAACAGTCAGGCAGTTTTTCAAAAAGTTAAAGATAGCATTACCATATAATCCAACAATTCTATTCCTTGGTATATTCCCAAGAGAATGGAAAACATACATCCACAGAAAAACTTGTATGTGAATGTTCATAGCAGCATTATTCATAATAGCCAGAAAATGGAAACAATCCACCAAAAAAGTGGAATCCATCAAAAAAGAAATGAATCCATCAAAAGTAGAAATGTCTTATCAACTGATGAGTGGATAAACAAAATATGGTATATCTATACACTGGAACATTATTCAGCCCTAAAAAGGAATGAAGTACTGATACGTAATGTAACATGATGAACCTTGAAAACATTAAGCTAAATGAAAGAAACCAGATAAGAAAGGCCATATGTGTGATTCCATTTATATGAAATGTCCAGGACAGGCAGATCCATAGAGACAAGTTAGTAATTGCTATAGGCTCTCAGGAAAAGGGGAGAGTGGAGAGTGACTGCTGATGGGTACAGGGTTTCTTTTTGGGGTGATGAAAATGCACTGGAATTATATACTGGTGATAGTGGTACAACTTTGAGAATATACTAAAACCCACTGAATTGTACATTTTTTTTTTTTGTGAGGAAGATCAGCCCTGAGCTAATGTCCATGCCAATCCTCCTCTTTTTTTTGTTGCTGAGGAAGACTGGCCTTGAGCTAACATCTGTGCCCATCTTCCTCCACTTTATATGGGATGCCGCCACAGCATGGCCTGACAAGCAGTGCGTCGGTGCGTGCCCGGGATCCGAACCTGGGCCACCAGCAACGGAGTGCACACACTTAACTGCTACACCATGGGGCCAGCCCCCTGAATTGTACATTTTGAAGAGGTGAATTTTATGGTATTAGAATTATATCTCAATATATAAACATACACACATACTGAAAAAAAAAAAAAAAAAAGAAACAAAAAAGAAAACTGTATCTGCCCTTCTGGAAAAAAGCAGGAAACAAAGTTACTATTGACCATTCAAAAAAGGTACAATAGCAGGGAATTTTTACCAACTTCATTTTGAGGACAGGAACCAAGGGAAACTGGGATCCAGCTCCTTGCCAAATGAACTTCTTTTTCTTCTCCTTGTTCTCTCCCTCAAACTTAGCAGTTGGAAGAAATGACCAGTTCAGTAGGGGAAAAAAAAAAGATGGCGCTTCTGTTTCAGTCCTGAGGTCAGTGTTCCATGTCATGACCTGTCAGACATTCCAGAGGTTTCAAGTGTGTTACAAAACAACAACATTTCACAATGTTGACCCTCTCCACACTGCCTTTATTAGTTTTGTGCTGTGCTGAGGTTTTCTCTGGCTGGATTTTTTTTTTTGGTTTGGTTTGGTTACTTCTGCTCATTTATTTATTTTGACAGAATCCTCATAGTGAGCAAAGTACAGCCCACTGAGACTTAACTGTGGAGGACACACGCTGTCATTGTTTTGGAAACTTTGTTGCTTCTGGTTAATATGCATGGGACTCGTGTAATATTCAGCTCTTAGCCCACCGTCAACACGTCGTGTAATGTAATCTCAGCGTGTGCTTCTTTCGTGCTGTTTGTTAATGTTGGGGCCAAGTGGGACTCTAAGGACCAGCTTTTTGTTTCTTTTAAATTCAGATATATTTTATATATAAATTGCATTCGTTTCAGGTGTACAACATAATGATTCGATGTATGTGTTTATTATAAAATGATCACCACAATCAGTTTGGTTAACATTCAGTACCTCATATAGTTGCAAATTTTTTTTTCTTGTGATGAGAACTTGTAAGATCTGCTCTCTTAGCAACTTTCAGATATGCAATACAGTATTGTTAACTATAGTAACTATGCTATTCATTACATCCCCAGAACTTGTCTTACACCTGTAAGTTTGTACCCTGTGACCCCCTTCACCCATTTCACCCACCACCCACCCCCGCCTCTGGCAACCACCAATCTGTTCTCTGTTTCTATGAGTTCGTTTGTTTTCAGATTCCACATATACGTGAGATCAGACAGTATTTGTCTTTCTCTGTCTGACTTATTTCACTTAGTATAATGCCCTCAAGGTTCATCCATGTTGTCACAAATGGCAGGATTTCCTTCTTTTTCATGGCTGAATAATACTCCATTGTGTATGTGTATATGTACATGTGTATATATATATATATATATATATGGGGGAATATAGCTTAGATTGTTTTCATGTCTTGGCTATTGTAAATAATGCTGCAATGAAGAGGACCAGACCATCTTTTCTTTTTCTTTTTTCTCCCCAATGTTGTATTTCCATGCTTTGTGTACATTCTCACTTTTGTCAGACTTATTTTTCTTTTTAAACAATCCTGGGCTATATCGAGACTTGTAAAAGGTGTTGATGTTCTTTCTTTGTTTCCCATGCACCCCATTTTTGCTGCCCCATTTCCAGTCTGAACTTTCTTTCCCAAATGCTCATTCCTTTTATATTTTTACTAATTAATTACTCTTACTGTGGGATTTATTCCCGTCTACTTTTGTTGATTCTTGGCTGTCCTGTGTTCCATCTCTTAGGACCTGGTTTAAAGACTAAATTTAAGCTGATAAAGTAATCCAGGCATATGTGACTCAGTGCATTATTTCTTCTAAATGGCACGTGTGCATAGGAATTTGAAGCACTCTTGAGATCTTTGGTCTAGGGAACCTCTTCTCCTCATTTCACACCTAAAAGGTGAGCTAACCTAATGCCCAGAACCCCACAGTAACTACCGTAATCCACAGGATTGTCCTTATAATCTTGTATGAATGTTTACATGTTTTTTTTTTTTTATTTCTAGAGGGATAAAAATGTGGCTTATCTGTGGTACTCAAACATACATTGTCTCTTATTAGTGAAGGGAAGAGAGGACACAAATCAAATGATGGCTGGTATTGCTCTTGTTTCAAGAACTGTTAAAAAAAGTTTACATTTTGTGATTCTTTTGAATTTGATTATAATGAAAAGAGCATGGGTTGGGTATGAGCAGATTCCAGTCCTGATGAGTCATTAACTGCATTTTAAAAAAAATTTCACCCCTAAATATTTTAGTATGCATCTCTAATAAATAAGTATTTTTATTTTATGTATAGCTACAACATAAATATTTCCAAAAATTTATAATCCTTAATATCCTCTAACACACAGTCCATAGTCACATTTCGTTGCTTATCTATAACAAAAGAGATATAATAATAGTTGGTCAAATTAGGAGCCAAACAAGGTAACGTTCATTGACTTGGCTCTTTTGTCTCTTGAGTATTTTTAAATCTATAATAGTTCCCTTCCAATGCTCCCCTTTTTTAATTCCCTTTATTTGTTGGAGAAACCAGGTCGTTTACCCTATGGAATGTCCCACGTTTTGAGTTTGGCTGGTTGCTTCCTTGTAGTGTCATTTAACTTGTGCATCTATTCCCATATTTCCCGTGAACTCATAGCTAGATCAAGAGGCCTGATTATATTCTGGTTCAATTTGTATTTCATTTTCTGGCAAGAACGCTTTGTAGGTGGTGCTGCATACTTCCTATTGTGTCACATTAGGAGGGACATAATGTCTGACTGACCCAGTTTTCGTGATATTAAGATTGACTGGAAGATTTAGCTGCATGCCTGATTCATCCTTTATAGAGTTCCCCATCAACCTTTCACTTAGTGGGTTTTGCAACTACTGATGACCTTGCCTAGGAGCTGCAAAATGGGAATTTTCTAATGCTATCATTATTTGGCATTTATTAGTTGGGATTCTTTTACATGGATAAATTTCCATCATTGATTATTTGGTTATCCTGAAATTTGATTGGAAAGAGAAAGCAGGATATGTTCTTTAGTCTTTCTTTTTATTTATCAGTTTTCAGAATAATGAATTGGGGCCCTAGCAACTTCTGTGGGTGGTCTACCAGTGAGTTATTCTCTACTGTTTAGGGGGTAGATGTAGAAAAGACATCTTATCAATTCATTATAAACCCCTGGATTTTTTTTTTTTTTTTTTTGGTGAGGAAGATTAGTCCTGAGCTAACATCTGTTGCCAATCCTCCTCTTTTTGCTGAGGAAAATTGGCCTTCGGCTAACATCTGTGCTCGTCTTCCTCTACTTTTTATGTGGGACGCCTGCCACAGCATGGCTTGATAAGCGGTGTGTAGGTCCACACCCAGGATCCGAACCTGTGAACCCCGGGCCGCTGAAGCGGAGTGCACGAACTCAACCACTACACCACCGGGCTGGCCCCTAAATCCCTGGATTTTATAGATCTGATATGTTTCAATCAGTTACAGTCATTCTTTTTGATACTCAAATTGTCCCATCTTTGGCCAGTGGAGGCTCCTTCTAATCGGCTTGTCTGTCTTCTTGTAACGACCCTATTAGTCTGAGCCATTAACTTCTGGGCAGCAGTTTCTCCCTCTTAAAATAATTGGATTAGTAAGATTCCTTTTAGCTGTAGCTTCCCTTCTAGAGAAAAGACGCCAGATTCTAATATTCTACAATTAAATCTCTTACACTGAAAATAGACAATTGTGATTTTTTTCTTTAGAGTTCACGCAGTGAGTGAATGAATGCCTTTGAAAATATGAAATGTTTTTGTTTCTCTCTCTCTGATCTTTCAGCTCCTACTTTTGTGACACTGGCTTATGACAGTTCCACGCTCTGAGCTCAGTATCTAGGTAGAAAACAAAACAAAACCCATGAGATAAACATTTCTATACTTAAGGCTGTAATGAGGCTTACCAAGGAAGTCCCTGATTTTGAAGATAGGTATGTTTTGAAATATACCTGTGTTATAGTTGTTATTATTCCAAATGTGATTTTTTTCTCACCTTCTATGTGGGGCACCACGCAGGGAGAACGGAAAGCTGCATTTCGTCCTGTAGCCCTGGTCAGGCAGAAAGGGGAATTAGGGAGGGCCCGAGGCCCCCCAGTGAGCTGTTCAGGGAAGTCCAGAAGGCTGCAAAGCCGGCTGAGGCTTGCCAGGTGGCTGCAGAGAATTAGCCCTAGTCCCTACAAGCCGGGAGCTGGAGCCCGGCCATCCAGGCAGTGCCTGAACCAGGTCCAGGCAACTGGGCCAAGTCCCCGAGGCTGTCCCTGGGACCAGAAGGCATAACCGGAGGGAAGCATGGATTTAAATTCCAGGACAGAAGACAAAAGCTCGTCAGATCTAAGAAGAAGAAGCCGAAAATGACTTTTTGTAAATGATTGAAGGACATTGTCTCGTATCAAACCCTATATAATAAAATTTAAGGAGGGCCTGATGTTTGTTTCTGTTTGTGCCCTGTGAAGCACATGTGACTTCAAAGGCACCTCTGTAGGGCGCTGGGGGAAAAGAGCATGCTTTTATTTCTAATTTTGGCACAAATCCTCCAAACTATTTTTGACGGCCAGGACACAAAACTTACATTCCCTCTAAGTTCATTTGCGTTGAGCAGGTCCACCTGTGTTTTTCTACAGGGACAAAGTTTCCACTTCTTCAGCTTGTGCGTTCTGCTACTTTGAGGCTTTATTTTTCAGGAAAGAGGCAAAGGTGATGCTAGATGATTTCAAGTGAAGCCTCAATTCCGTTAATGGCCCCCCTCCCCGACTTCTCTTTTCTTCTCACCTTAATAAGTGTCTTCAGAATTTGAAACAGTTGTTTATAAGACTGGTTCAGACATGAAACACCCTTTTAATAGGAGTCTTATGTTGTAAGAGGGAGCTCTTGGTTTCATTACAATATGATGGGACCCATTCATGATGAGCGAATATAACTGCAAACTAATGCATATGCACAGTGACTGTGTGTGTGTGTGTGTGTGTGAACGTGTGTGTAAGCTTGTAGAGACCCTGCGATTCCATTAATCATAGAAACTAGAGACATCAAGGTTGTTTTCAATGACTCCATCTCTCCCTTATCAACACAAGGTGGTTCCTTCTGTCCTGTTTTGAGGGTGAGTTTCCTTCGTGGCCTGTTTGCCCTGCCTCCCCAGCCACTCCTCCACACCCGCACTTCCGTGCAGACTGATTCAGGCTACGCTGTGTTGATTTCTTTTGGCCTATTTATTTCTGATCATTTTTGTTATTCTTTTCCACACTCTGTATTCCCCATCCTGTTTGAAACTTGGAACCCCGATATGGTTGGGCAGTGGTTCTGCTTAACTTGTTAAAGAATGATCCTAATAAGCCTAGAGTGGTTGTTTTTATTGCCGTAAGGGTCTTTTGACTTCTAAAGAAGAAACTTCCACTCAGGGTGAACTTATCACCCCTACTCAGGGAAAAAGGTCCTGGTCTGATTATTACAGGTCAGCAAATGAAGGGCAAGATGTTATTTGCTTCCATAGCTTTGGTATTAGACTTCATTTTATCCCTATATTAATAACTCATAACTTATTGGTCTTTAATCTTCATTAGTTGTGTTGCCTTAAATTATAAAGGACAATAATACAGTAATGATAATAGTTATATCAGTATACCAAAAGATTTGCCCTTATCCCCCTTCATCTTCCATCAAAATAGACGCTTCCCTGAAGAGTTGGGTTATGAGTACAATGAATTTATGTTGGCCTAGTGAGCAATATTATGATCTAAAAACATTTATCAAAGGGCCAACCAAGTGTATAAGGTATTATATGAAATTCTGCAAATACCTAGCAGTATTTCAGTCATTTGCATATATTGTCTAACTTCAGTATGTATAAAATTGCATAGAATGGTGCTCGTGAAACACACACGCACATACACACACACACGAGATTTCCCTCAAAGAGCTTACTGATATATTCTAGTAGAGAGAGAAAAAAAGAACTTATGTGAAACATTTATTGAATAATATGAGAAAACTTAACCTAAATATTAAATTGGTTGAGGCTGGCTATATATATATAGATAGATATCATCAGAAGTCAGAGAAGGGAGACTATAGAGAAGAGGAGTTGGAGATGCCAACAAGAAACGGAAGGAAGAATTTGGGTAGTTTGGGTGGACGGGGCGTGAGGAGGAGAGGGCAAGAGCTCTGGGCATAGGAAATCCCAGAAAGAAGGACCGAGTGGTGAGGATTTCTGGGCCACTAGGAAGGCCAGGATGACCTGAGCTCAGGGCTTATGTGCCTAAAAGATTTAGTGAGCTTTTTACTAAGTTTAAGCATATGAAGAAAGGTGATGGTAGAGAACTTTAAGAATATGCAGTATTATCTACGGATATCAAGTAAATAGCAATTATCCTCAAACTGTATCGTCGCTAGCTTAAGTAGTTTAGACTGTTTGCCAAAGTTGAAAGAAAACTATAAAATTACAAGCACTTGTATGAGCAAATACAATGGAGTGCCCTAAAATGATACAAGACACAAATTTGTCTTTGACCCTGACCAAGATGGTTTAAATACTGTAAGATCTACCAGAGTGAGGACCTTGTCTTCTGTAGCTTTGTGTCTCCCAAGAGGTGCATCTCAGCACAGTACCTTGCACGTGGCGGATTTTTAATAGTTTTCATTGAATGAATGCATGAATTTAATGTAAAGCCATCCTTTGGTGTTGACCTCAAAGAGATATTATAAATGATACCCCAGAGTACCCTTAGAAGGTGGGCTTCATTGTCCAGGGAAAGTGTTCCTCATTGGTAAAGTCCCACTGATACTAGGTTTTTCATAAATATTTTTGGCTGATTGTTAGAACCAGCCAAAATGATTTTATTGAGTGTCTTCTATGACTCCAGTAACATAGAAAGTATGTGAGACTTGATTTTTGATATTAAATAAATTACATATATTGGGAAGATGAGAGTATTCATTGGGGAAAAATTAGAAAATCAAAAGACAATAGACAAGGCAGAAATACTGGGGGGGAGTATAAGTGTATGTCCTCGCTGCTGCTCTTTTCTTTCATTTCTCTTTTCCCTAGGAAATTGATCTGTGTCATGTGTTCAACTGCTGTCTCTACTGATGGGTCAAATGGATATCTATCTGGATTTTATACCTGGACACTGAGCATTTTCCCATCATCTCAAACTTCAGATCTCTAAACCCAAGCAGATTAAGTCTCTTTTCCTTTTTCTGTCTATTACAGTGCTGTTGTTCTAATCACCCAGGCTCAAAATCATTGACTGTTTCTGTATATTGATATTTCCTTATGTTTATCAGTTGCTGTGGCCACTCTGTTCTGGATTGTGAGTAGATCAAGAGCATAGAAGAGATTTTTAACCCCATGTGCCCAAATATGCAGAGCAAGTGTGGTAGACAGAAGGAAATAAAGTGATGCTCTTGGGACTCTGATGGAAGATACAGACAGTGGACTTTTGACTTAATGGTCCTGAGAAAGATCTGTTTCAGAGCAAGAGATACAGTGGGAGAAATCCCCACATTCCTTGGCCTGAAACATATGTCACTTGTTAACTTGCTTAATATTGATATATCAAATTTTGATAAATAGAATTTTGCTTTAAATGTTTTGGAAGAGCTTAGTATTGGAAGGAAACCTATTATTAAGTTTGCATTTTCCTATTTATGTATTTTTCTGGTATACTGGTAGGTTTACATGCAAAACACGTTGATTCTTAGATTCTTAGCTCCGTGGTCTCCAGGCTGTCCTATGTGTAGCTGTCGACTAGTGGAAAGAATTGTCGTGGTCATGGGCTATCTCTCACTGGTGGTATTTAGACAGAGATAGCATTATTGTTTCAGATACTGAAGACATGAGCCTGGCATTGGGTAGGAGATTGGACTAGCTCTCTATGACCCCTTCTAAGATTGAGACATTTTATCATTTTATAGTAATTCATAAGAGGATTATTTAATAATTTATTTCTGCTATTATGTAATACCCTGGCAAAAGGTATGCACTGATTTTGGCTTTCTCTATGGCACCTGGGAAGGCATAAGGTTAAGCACTTACAAATGACATCCAAGGGTGTCACCACTAGCAGAGTGTTTGTGGATTACACTGTGATTGTTGAATTAAACTAAAGTATTCTTTTGACTTTGTCGACAAGGGACTCAGTGGTTGGGGCTGAACCTTGGAAGCACTGGGTTTAGCATTATCATGCTTTAAAGTGGTCTGAAGACAATTAGCCTGACCAAGTTTATAAGGTTAAATAGTTATAAAGGCTCAGGGTATCTCTCCGTAAGAGAGGTGGAAAGGGATAGAAAGACTTTCCTTCTTTGAACTGAAGCCATACAAGACAGGGGATGAAAGGGTGTAATTTTGGGGTGCTTGATCTATGCTGTAAAAAAAGGTTTCAGAGCCAAGCATACTTCAGAAATGATCTCCTGGGTTTTTCAGCCGTGTCCAATTTTCTTGCTCTGATGCTTTTAGAGGTTCTCTACTTCAGGGAGGAAACTAAAAGTTATTATATGAAGCTTGAAAAATGTAGTTTCTTTAGATCCTTTGCCAGTATTCCATCATCATCTTGAAACAAAGAACATGGTAAGCATCCACAGCTTACACAACGGAAGAATTCCTGTGAACCAGATCGACCATAGAGAAAATATCTTCCTAGCAGCAAAGGCAGTGCTAGCTGAGCTATAGCACTAGCTCCAGGCTGACTCGGGCGTGTCCCTTTCCTTTCCAGCGCTCAGTTCTCTCCAGGGAGCATCTTCCTTCTTGTTCTAACTCTCTCATTTGGTGGTCCTGGCTGTTTTTTGCTATCACGAAGTATTTTTGAAGAGTGCCAATTAATAAATGTAGAAAGGATGAAGAAGAGAAAAATCCTTATTTTACAATAGCCGTGGTAATTAATAAGTGATTCAGGCTAATAAGTGAATGATCAGTGGATGCTAAAAAGTGAGTGAAAGATTGTTGGAGAACAAAATATTCTCCAAGTGTTTCCCATTGGACTGCTTAATTACAAAGGGAAAAAGGCATCTTTACAATGGAGAATACCTTAAACGTGATCAAATTTAAGCAATTTAACATCACCAAAAGAGGAACAAATTGAGGTCCTGTACCTGTTGATTTGATCCTTAGCTGTCACTTAGGCAGCATTCCTGCCCCAAATATTTAACTGGAATCTAATCATGAGGAAACAATCAGACAAATCCAAAAATGAGTGCTTGTTTTCCTAAGAAATGCTAGTCATTATAGACCGAAAAAGCTGGGGGAGCTGTTTTCTGATTAAAGGAGACTAAAGAGATATGACATCTAAATGCGGTGTGTGATCTCAGATTGCATTCTAGATCAGGAAAACAGCTATAAAGGACATTTATTGGGTCATTTGGGGAAATTTGAAAATGG